ATTTCGTCAAAATGGACGTCGAGCACAAGATCTAACAGATAGCATTGCCAATAATATCATTAATATTGCATTGAGATTGGATGATGACCCACTAGAAGATGAAATTCTTAAAAGGGATTTACAGCCTATAGTTCAGCGTCATACAGTTGAGCTCCGAGAACACGGAATTAAACGTGTCACAATTGTCTTGTTCCGAAAAGGCCAGTATCCGGGCTATTTTACTTTTCGCGAAGCCAATAATTTTGCTGAAGATCAAACAATTCGACATATTGAACCAGCCATGGCATATGAAGTAAGATTTATTTTTTTAAATGTATAACAATATTCGAATTATCAAGTTATTTATTTATTTAATAATTTTTCTCATTTTATAAACTAGCTTGAACTTTCAAGGTTATCTAAATTTGACATCAAACCTTGCGCTACTGATAACAGACAAATTCGCGTGTATTATGCAATAGGCAAAGAAAACACCTCTGATTGCAGATTCTTTGTTCGTGCTTTAGTTCGATCTGGCCGCATGAGGTTTTTATTTTAAACACTTTAAATAAGTTGGTTTTTGTATCAATTTTTATACTCAAGCTTTTTTTTAATTTGCGTCTTCAGAAATAGCGTACATACAGAATATCTCCTTTCAGAATCCGATCGACTTTTGAACGAAATTTTAGATACCCTTGAAATCGTTAGTTCTAATCACAAGAATTCAGACTGTAACCATTTATTCATAAATTATATTCCAACTTTCGTTTTGGAACCACGTCAAATCGAAGAGGCTGTTAAAAACTTTATTGACAGGCATGGAAAAAGGTTATGGAGATTACGTGTTACTGGTGCTGAAGCTCGGTTTAAAGTTGAAGATCCTATAAAAGGCAATCAATATCCTCTTCGCGTAATCATCAATAACGTTTCTGGTTATGTTGTTAAAATAGAGACTTACCAAGAGGTAAAAACTGAGGGCGATACTACAATTCTTAAATCAATTGGAAAAATAGGATCTATGCACCTTCAACCAACACTTACTCCTTATTCAACCAAAGAATGGCTGCAACCAAGACGTTTTAAAGCTCATCTTATGGGTACTACATATGTTTACGATTTTCCCGAGTTATTCCGGCAAGCAGTTCGTACACAATGGAATCGAGCTATTCATAATTGTCCTGAATTGAAATGCCCAACAGATATACTAGAGGCTAAAGAATTAGTTATAGATGAAAAAGGCCAATTGCAAGAAGTTGATCGTTCTCCCGGTACCAATTCATTTGGTATGGTAGCATGGATGCTTACATTATTTACACCAGAATATCCAAGAGGCCGTAAAATTGTTGTAATTGCAAATGATATTACATATCAAATCGGCTCATTTGGTCCTGCTGAAGATCTATTCTTTGCCAAAGCTACAGAACTTGCAAGAAAGTTGGGAATCCCAAGAGTGTATCTTTCAGCTAATTCTGGAGCCAGGATTGGGTTGGCAGACGAGATAATTAACCATTTCAAAGTTTCCTGGGTTGACGAAAATAATCCTAGTAAAGGAGTGAACTATCTATACCTTGATTCTGAAACTTATAAGCAATTGAACCAGAATAGGCAAAAATCTGTAATTGTTGAAGAATTAGTTGAAGACGGTGATGTTCGATATAAAATCACGTAATTAATTTATTCTTGTTTTTAAAGAGATTCTTTTAAAAAAAATAAAGAATGAAGTTTTAACTGACTATTTGTTATAAAGTGACATTATAGGCGTTACTGACGGACTTGGTGTAGAGTCTTTGAAAGGTTCAGGATTAATAGCTGGTGCAACTTCGCGTGCATACGAAGATATATTTACTATTACCCTCGTTACTTGCCGTTCGGTTGGTACGTATTTAAAAATGGTTTCTGGTGCAGATTTAACTATCATTTGAAATTATCATTCATTATTGATTTTCTATTTAAAGGCATCGGAGCATATTTAGTCCGACTTGGACAGCGAACAATCCAGAATGAAGGACAACCAATTATACTTACAGGTGCATCAGCTTTAAATAAGGTGCTTGGTAGAGAAGTTTACACATCGAATCTACAGCTTGGAGGTACACAAATTATGTACAGAAATGGTGTATCTCATATTACTGCTCAGAATGATTTGGAAGGCATTACAAAGATTGTTCAATGGCTCTCTTATATACCGGCATCTAAAAGTTTACCTGTGCCCATATTTCCCAATTCTGATACTTGGGACCGAGAGATTGATTATATGCCACCTAAAGGGCCGTACGACCCTCGTTGGTTAATTACTGGAAAATCCGAATCGGATAAATGGATTAGTGGATTTTTTGACCGTAATTCATTCGTAGAAACGCTTGGTAATTGGGCTAAAACAGTTGTTGTTGGTCGTGCGCGCCTTGGAGGAGTCCCTATGGGTGTAATTGCGGTTGAAACACGTGTAGTAGAACATATAGTTCCCGCTGATCCTGCTAATTCCGAATCTCAACAGCAAGTAATGAAAGAAGCAGGTCAAGTTTGGTATCCAAATTCAGCCTATAAAACTGCACAAGCTATTAATGATTTTAACAAAGGTGAACAGTTACCTTTAATGATTTTTGCAAACTGGCGTGGATTTTCTGGTGGTCAACGTGATATGTTCTTAGAAATTTTGAAGTATGGTTCATATATTGTCGACGCACTCACAAATTACAAACAACCCGTTTTTGTCTATATTGTACCAAACGGAGAGCTTCGTGGAGGTGCGTGGGTAGTAGTAGACCCATCAATTAATGAAGACATGATGGAAATGTATGCTGATGCAAAATCAAGAGCTGGTGTTCTCGAACCTGAGGGAATTGTTGAGATCAAATATCGAAAACCTCAACTACTTGCTACAATGGAACGTTTAGATGAAACATATCGTAATCTTAAAAAATCGTTAGAAGACCCTTCAAAAACTGAGATGGAAAAATCTGAAATTAAGATGCTTTTGGAGGCTCGAGAAAATGAATTACTTCCTGTTTATTCTCAAATTGCTTTACAATTTGCAGATTTACACGATACACCTGGTAGAATGAAGGCTAAAAATACAATTAGGAAAGTTTTGGAATGGCGAGAAGCTAGAAGATTTTTCTATTGGCGTGTGAGAAGACGGTTACATGAAGAATATATATTTAAAAAATTGAGTGCTGCTAATCCTAATCTTACAAAGGCCCAAATGAAAGGTTACTTAGCTACATGGTTTTACGATGATGTCGGAGAAGAATTAGATTGGGAGGAATCAGATGTTGAAATTGTGTATTGGTTCGATAAAATGCTTAGCAGTTTAGAAACAAATACCCATAATAATAATATTGACGACGAATATAAAGATACTGATGGTGAAACATCTAGTAAATCGTTGTCATCAATTGAATCGCGAATTGAAAGTATAAGAAACGAAGCAATAGCTCAACAAATATTTGAATTAGGAAAGACCAATATACAGGCCGTTTTAGATGGAATATCTTCATTATTAGAACATTTAGATCCAGAAGAAAAAACGAATATCTTAAAACAATTAGCTGGTACTTTATAATCTTGATAATTATATTTGTGTGCATTTTATCTTCTATCAATCTTTGGTATAGATCTTTAGTACTGTACTATTCTTATTTCTTCAAAAGTCTTTTATTGATTTATTTTTTTGTATTTGATATACATTTAATGTATTACATGAGTTTTAGGTTTTAGACAAATGTTTTTAGAAAAAAAAACAGCTTTTAATGCTTAATTTTTTATGTAAATAAATTTATTGATTTCATCGATTTTAAGTCAACATTTTTTTAAAGTTAATGCACGTCTGGTTATATCGATACCTCAACAAAATAAAGCAATTGTCCGATATATCCAGCTGTTGGTTTAACCAGAGGCATTTTCATATTAAGTATATAGGTTAAAATTTTAAAAAATGTCGCTATTACAGATGTCGCTATAACCAGATGTCGATATACAGTCTTCCCTCTTTATAATCACCTCCCATATAATCACTTCATATAAAAACCTTTTATAATCACACCTCTATTTGAGCCCAGTTACTATTTAATTTATATAAAAAACCTCTATATAAGCACACCTCTTTATAAACACATTTTTTTAAAAAAATTACTATGGTCCCAACTGTGTGATTATAAAGAGGGAAGACTGTACCCAGATGTCGATATACCCAGTGACGCGTATTTACCTATTCACCGAAATGTTTTCTTAGTTTAACCCAATGACAAAGCTACAGGATTACGATTAAATTGCAGAATAATGTTATATCACCACAGAACAGTTTGAGAATTTTCAGCAATACTGCAACTTTTTGCTAGCGAAGGATTACATGTTCCTATTTTATTTTTGAGGTATTTCGTACGTTTATTTTTTTAACGAGCACTGAAAATGAAACTTATACTTTTTGTATTTAGCACAAAATGAGCAGTTCTAATGATTTCTTTAAACCTAAGACTATAAATGCTGGTGAAACTGGTGACATCTGAAATCTGATTGACTGTTATATTAAATTTCACCACCATTCACCAAGAGTTTCACCAGTTTCACCAATATCTATACCCAAGACTAACAAAAGTAAGATCCCTAAGTCCAACTATCCTAACAACTCAGCACCGTCTATACCAAAACCCAACCTACAAAGCAAGCCAAGAGAATTTTTATCTTGTAAATAAACTATGTACTAAGTATTCTGCAAGATATTCTTCCAATTTTTGAAATATAATTATCAGAACTAAGTTTTTTTATTAGATGAGGAAACATGTCAAAAGACAACTTGAACGTGATGAGGAAAATGATGTCAATCCTTGGTTGAATCCTGGTTAACAGAGGGAAATTTTAGATTAAATGTGTAAGCCCCATCAACCTGGCCCATTAAGGGCGACTCTTTGAGGAATACTGTATATATCTTATTTTTAGTCATTCTGACGTTTGTTATGAAATAAAGAGGGAGTGCTGTGGGCTCCATTTTTTTAAAAGTATAATTTTAGAAAAGATATATTTATATCGTGTAAATGTTGTATGTCTTCACTATAATGCTTTGTTTCAAAAATTTAAGAGCGTTACTCCAATAGACAGAAAATGTAAAACATCGAGTCTTTAGCTTTTGAATTAATTTTGTAAGTTTATTGTTGGCCATTAAAGATACCATATTTTTCGCGAAATAACGCGCATGCGCGTTATTTCGATTGATGACTCGAATTAAGCTTAATCGCTTGGATTTACTGTACCAAAACTAGTACAAAAAACCGAATTTAGTACAATAATTTTTTGAAAAAATTATATACAGTCAGACCTCGTTATAGTCACTCTTGATATAGTCACAACCTTGTTATAGTAACACTATTTGAGTGTCGCCAAGGGAAAACCCGCAAATCTAAAAATAGATCATTTATGAATTTCATAAATGATCTATTTTTAGATT